GTTTGTGGGTTGGGGTTTTTTTTTGGCTTTTCCACTTGCTCACCCAGCTGATGCTGGCACCACAAGGCACCAGTGTAAGTAGCTAGCACAGCATTTTCAGCATGAGGGCACCAGTGATCATGTATAACCTGACTTGAGAGTCTCTAAGCAGCATTGTGTTAAAACTGACTTCTTAAGAACAGTTATGTGAGAATTCCTGGTGCTATCATACATGCAGCTATTTGCATTTCCACAATGATAAGATTTTTATTTTTTTAATTTTAATTTTTACAACACCTTTCCTGTTAAGCAGCGTGAAAGATGGGTGGTGGGGTAATAGCATGAACACACATTGCAGACCGAATCAGTTTCAGACTTCTTCACTCAGAGGCTCTGCTCCGAGTGCTCACAGGTTGTTTAAAACCACTTCTGAATAGTTCCAGCAGAGTTACACATTTTAAATGGTGTGTCTCAGGTATACGTTGGTCAAAACAAATTTGTTTTATTAACAGATCTGATAAGGTGAAATGTGATAGAAATGTTTTAATACCTCGCCATAGCTTTGTACCATAATTTGAGACAATCTTTCAAGGTGTACTTGGGTACATATTGGGCAAAGCACAGCCCTAAAGTCATGAGGAAAAGGAATGACACGTACTTGCCAGTAGGAAAGTAGTGGCTTAGCTCTCCTGACTTTGGGAAAAAACTTTCCCATTTACTCGGTGAAATGCAGCTGCCGAGAGGTTACTGGAGTTTGTGTGCTGGTGACGTGTTCCTGTGACTCACTGTCTGTCTGTCCGTCACGAACCTGTCTCTGCCTGGGGAAAGAGCGACAGCAAGGGTGCAAATCTGAGTCTTTCACCCAGTTTTTGACCCCCTGGAGTACAGGCTGGGACTGGAACGATACCTCTCCAGCTAGGCCCCCCTTCTCGGCTCCCCCCCTTACTGGTGAGCTGCAGCTCACGCTCCCCGCAGGTCAAACTTGTGAGGGTGACCACCCCCTTGGCACAAAACCCCACTGCTTGGGGGAGAGGGGGTGCTGTGCAAATTGGCAGGCGCTCCGGTTTTACTTCCCGTTAAAAACAGTTGCCCTCGCTCCCGTAAAGCCGGGTGTTAAGAACCTCACCGGGGAGGACCCCGGGGGAAGCGCTTGTTGAGCAACCCTCGTGTTCCCTCTGAAGGACAAGGACAGATAGAGCCGCCGCCGGTTCCTCCC